AAGGGGAACTATCAACCGAAAGTTTTCGAGTGCTTTTTTGGATATTAAAATCACAACTTCCTAAATAAAAACTCTTGATTTTGGTTGCTTTAGGGTAGGTAGAGTATTATATATATGAAGTAACAATTTGAACCAAAATATTTTTACATTGAAATTTTTATTTATTTATTTATTTTTTGGGTGTAGTTAATTTGGTCCAACTGACTAGCTAGGAGGCTATTAATGAGTTCCCAGTACATTCCCGAAAGCTCTTGACTTTGTTTGATGCCCCCTTACCCAAAGCACAATTCAAATATTGCTTGCAGTACAATGCTAAAAGCATATTCAAGCTGGACGCATAAGAAAAATAGCTCACCATTCAAAGTTTCCACAGTTTACTATTAGTACTTGGAAAAAAGTAATACAACACCATGGTTGACTCGCCCACAGTTGTGTATTGACTCGATGAAATTATTGTGTACACCAACGTTAATCTTACATTCATTCTAATATCTGTAAATATACGATCCATTAAATCTGGACCAACTCATTTACTTATAACCTAAATTTTTTTTTTACTAGGGCTTGTAGTTCAAACGATTACGAGTATTATTCCTGCACTCGAGGTCTTAGGATCGATTCTCCTCTTCCAGTATCACTTATATTAAATAAATAAATAAAAAAGCTTATATATATTATTTATTTCGTTTTTATTTCTTTTGGCTACGTAATAGCTAAAGGTATTGTCACATATTAGTATAGCAGAACAAAATGACAGGGTTGCTTTAACTGGTGTAGCTTGCAGGGTTGAACGTACGCACCCACCACCTGCCACTGAAACTGGGGATAAGGTCAATCAATTCAGCCTGTTGAGTGTTGATCCGATCTTGATTGATTCTTTTAAACTTAATTTGGTTCACATAATTCCACCAAATGAATGATAAAACCATAGACTTTAGAAATCTGGAAAGACCCATGTGAGTCCTGCCTTTGCATTTTTTTAGTGGTAATTATCTTCAAAATTGACAATAGTATTGGATTTGAATGATATAAATATAATATAATTGATCCACAGGACAGGTTTGGTTATGCTCGTCATGCATTAGCAAACCGAGTTAAACGGCAGGTTTGGTTATGCTTTCACATTAGGAAATCGAGTAAAACAAACAACTCGATTCCCTTCTAAACCGAGATAAGTATTTTATCACTAAAACCCTTTTCTCAAGAATACGGAAAAACTCGAGTTCAAACATATTTATTGATCAAGTCTCTCACACAAATTAGGTTTTACGAAAGATGTGATCAATAATCTGATTAGCACTCATAGTAAAAATAATTTCCATTCAATAAAAGCCATCTTGTTCAGAAGTAGAAGAAAGATTGTCATATTGCCGTGCAGGGCTGTTATACCATCAAGAAGTTAGAGGACCCATTTGTGGGGTCTAAGCAAAGACAAATTGCGTGATGCCATTCCAAGCACTCTCTTTCACAGTCCACATTTCCTCTCTTGCTTCCCTTTCTCTTTTTTGGTGGCTTCTCTCTTTCTTTATCACCCTCTCTCCATTAATTAAAGCTAGAAATCCTTCTTGGTTTTTGGGGAAGATCACCATTACCAACTTGAACTTTTCTTGTGAGATTCACTCTGTTTTTTCTTTTAAAATTTGTATTGCCAAGAAACTATTTTTCCTCAGTACTCGTATTAGGAATACTGGTACACTGTCCATGTCCACTTGCATTACCAAAATACCCTTGATCTCCTCCGACAGTTAAAGAAAATAATAAAAACGATATTAAACTACTGTAATTTACAGTGGACGGTAAATCTGACTCAAATGAAGAAGGGAAACACACTGCTTGATTAACTGATCTTATTCACATTTGCTTATCTCGTCAAATAATTATCTCCTCTTGAAAATTCTAAAATTAGTTAAGCTACTAAAATAACATAATAGGGAAATTATTGGCTATTGATTGCAAGAGAAGTCTCGTTGAACTCAGTATGAATAAGCGATAGAATATTATTAATGTGAAAAGGCTAATACAAATGTCATGTATTTCACTCTAATTTCTCCATCAAAATTTAACTTTCAGCCGAAGGCATTGAACCCACCATCTTATTTTACCAAAAGTCATTGGCTCATTGCCATGTTTTCCAATACCCACCATAATTCACGACAAATTAGTGCCACAGAATGATTTTTATTTTCTGGTCAATAGGTCTAGTACATAATTGTAAATAAATATTTGGACTTTATTTTTGTGTTCCTTTTTTTTTTAATTAATTATAGTTTTTCTTAATTTCAAAGGCTATATTTCACTTAAACACTAATTCATACCAGAGAAAACGAGTTCCGTAGGCTACACAATTTAGTGTGAGGTTATCTTTTGCTATAATTACCCAACTTCTATAAATAAATAAAAAGAAAACGGAAAACGTGATAAAATCAAAGCGATCTAATGAATACTTAAATTAAGGATTTAAGTATTTACTGAGCATGTTACCCATTATGCATCTTTTGACCCAAAAAACAAGGTTCACTTTGTGCATTTCATCCGTACACATCTAATTGGATGGGTAGAATGCAAGTAATCTTCAATCTGCTTTTTCTTTTTTTGGCCAAAAAAAAAATCTGTTTTTCTTTTAATTTTCTATTTATTATAAAGATAGATATTTACCAACTAGTATGTATAACTCACCTTGAATAGAAAGAGATTTGTAGTTTAAGTAGTTAAAAATTTATCCTTGCACGTTTGTATTTAAAATAAATATATAAAAACCTACCTTGAATAAAGTCATGCTACCACTCTCTCAAAAATAAAAAGTCACACCCAATATCGTAGATCTTATTAGATTCGAATTACCCCTCCCTTAATTAAATAGAGACAACTATCCTTAAACTAAAAGTTAATATCTTTTATGATAAAATTTCATATGTTGGACGACGCCCTAAGTTTGAACTCCTCTCGGGCACCTTCCTTTGAACAATATTATAAATACCCAAATTTTAATATTTGGTTGTAAATTGCAATGCATGAATTCCATGTAAACTTGGTGCCAAATTCAACGTTACACTTCATATACAAGTTGTCTAAATTTAGATATAGGCGCGTTTTTTGGTGTTTAATTTGTAATGACATAGGATTCGTTTTTTGGATCTTGTAAAATTAAAAGAAGAAAAACCTTACAAAAGTCCATCCATTACCTAAAGAAAGATTGGGTAGTTTATGCCCTTGTGGCTGATGGACTTAGTGTCTAAGTTATGAATATAATTATCGCTTACTATTTTTTTTTAAAATTAGGAACTTAAAGGTTCCTATCTTAATCATTTGGAGACATTTGATCGGGACTAAACTGAGGGTTACTCAAACACTTCGTATCAGATATAATAGTGACTCCAAAAACGCACCTAAAAGATAATCAATCGTTACAACTAATGAATAATCAAGACCGTATAATCTAGAGATTTCCCTTTTTTTTTTCTTTTACTTCGCCCTAAATTAGTGGTTAAAATGAAGGGCTAAGTTAGTCATTTGGCGTATATAGTGAGTCATATATATATACTTGAAATCTTAATCAAACAATAATAAGAAAGTTTTTTTTTGTGAAAGGAAAAAAGAGAAGAAAACCAACAACCATGCAATTTGGTCGGAGGTATTATTGTTGTGTGATCTTTTCTCTCTTTTCTAAGATAAGAAAGGCAAACAAGAGGAAACATAGCTGTTGAGAGTTTGAATCTTCACAGCCAAGTAAAAATCTAATTACCTCTTTTGCATTTTTTTTTAAAAAAAGACCTGATTTACTAATAATAATACGAAGAATCCAGAAAAATTAATAATTTCTTTTAAAGCGTTGGAATTATGCAAAAAATAAAAACAAATATAAAAAATAAAAAAATAAAAAGAGAGGTAGGGAAAGCTGGCGAGAGATGCATGGGCCATATAAAAACAATCCCAGCGGCAGCGGTAGCGGCAGAGAGACCTGCACGCTCAACAACAACTACTCTACATCTACATCATCACTCTTTCACAAGCACCTTCATTTTTCTCTCTCTTATTTATTTATTTATTTTATTATTTAATATTTTGGTGAAAAAACCAAAACCCTTTTGTCAAAATAAAATAATAGTAAATGGGTTATTTTTTGTTTTTTCAAATATGGGGTTGTTTTTATTTAATTAATGGTGTGATGTTGTTGGTGTTGGAAATTACAAGCACGAGACTCCCTCTCAAGAAAAGCCAAACCCCACGCGAAGAAGAAGAGAAGAAGCAAAGGAAGGAAAAAAGAGAAAGAAAGCAAAGAGCAAAGAAAGAGCAGAATAAGGTGTCTCTCTCTTGGACTGATTCGTTTCAATCGCATCTATCTCTTCAATTCCAAGCTCCTATTCTCTCTCTCTTTCTTTCTATTCTCTCTCTCTCTCTCTCTCTCTCTCTCTCTCTCTCTCTCTCTATATTAACAAAGCTAATAGCATCCTAGCAAACAAAGGAAGGCCAACAACGAAAACAACAAGAAGGAGAAAGAAAAAGTAGGTGAAAACAAAGTGCCCCAAGTAAATAAAAGAGAGACAGAGATGGGAAGAAGGGTAAGAGAATGGTGCTGATGCTGAAGAAGGTGGAGGTGGTGGTGGTGCCCTCTCTCAATACACATAATTCATCTGATTCCTTCTCTTTCTTTCTCTGAAAAGTATATATCTTTCTGTTTTTTTTTGTTTTTTTTTGTTTGGGTATTTTAAAATCCTTCTACTTCTCTATCTATCTATCTATTTCTCATTGAATAGTCCGCCTATTGCTTGGTAGGGAGGCATCTTTCATGCTTGTTATGTGCTAGCGTTTATTGTTCTTCTCCATTCCCCCTATTAAGTTCCTCTGTCATCCTTTGGACTTTTTACCAATTGCCGATACCAAACCTCTCTCTCTCTCTCTTCCCCACCTATTCTTTCATTTCCAATACATTATACATTTATTCCTGTCACAATCTTCTCTTCTATATCATCATCATCAGCATCACCAATCTACAATCAACAATGGCAGTTCAAGCTCAATACCCTTCAAATATCCTCTTTCTAAACAGGTTTGCATTCTCTCCTCTGCTTCCTTGGTTTTGGATTTTTATCAGCAAACCATATCTTCAATCTATATATCTCTCTTACCTAATTAATTCCTGCTTTGGTTTCCACTGATTCTGCAGAAACTCACAAGAAGGGCATGATTATTCCTTACAAGCACAGCCAGGAGGATATCTTGATCAATCCCACATGCTATTCAACAATGGAGGAGGAGGTGAGTCTCTTCAAATTCATATCTTTTGATCACCCAATTCTGCTTTTGGGCCATGAACACCAATTCAATCAATAAAAGATTGGTTTTTTTGAATTTGGTTTTGATTTATTTGATTACAGCAGTCAATAATACTACCAATCAGCGCAAAAGAGGAAGAGAAACTTCAGCTGCCACTGAAATCTCACCTTCAATCCTTCCTTTCTCTCTGCAACAACAATCCCAACCTCCTCCTCCTCAGCTCATCGACCTCTCCCAACTCCACAGCCACAACCACAACCACAACAATCCCAATGTGGTCTCCACCGGCCTCCGTTTATCCTTTGGAGACCAACAACAACAACAGCAACAGCAGCAGCAATTTCAACAGCATCACAATCAACAACAACAACAACACCACTCTTCAGCTTTGTTCTCTGTTTTAACAGAGGACTTTGCTACCCAAATCAAACACCAGCGGGACGAATTAGACCAATTCCTTCAAGCCCAGGTAATAATTTTAACTTTCCTCAAATGGGTTATTAGCGTTTTTTTAATTTGTCGAGAAAAAGCAATTGAATTGAATTTATGGTTTTTGTAATTTTTATAGGGGGAGCAACTACAGCGCACATTAGCAGAGAAACGGCAGAGGCACTACCGTGCGCTACTGAGCGCAGCGGAGGAATCAATAGCTCGTAGGTTGAGAGAGAAAGAGGTGGAGGTTGAGAAGGCCACGCGTAGAAATGCCGAGTTGGAAGCACGCGCTGCGCAACTTAGCGTGGACGCCCAGGTTTGGCAGGCTAAGGCCCGGGCACAACAGGCCACTGCTGCGACCCTACAGGCCCAACTACAGCAGGCTATGATGAGCGGCGGGTTTGTGGCGGCTCAGGATAGCAGGAGAGGGGACGATGGAGTAGCATCCTCGGCGGGCGTAGAGGGCCAAGCTGAGGACGCCGAGTCGGCATACATTGACCCGGAACGAGTGACCATGTCTGCCCCGAGTTGTAAAGCGTGTCGAAAACGGGTCGCCTCGGTGGTTATACTGCCGTGCCGGCACTTATGCCTCTGTACAGAGTGTGACCAAATGGTTCAGGCCTGCCCATTGTGCCTCTGCATGAGAAATTCAAGTGTAGAAGTCTTTCTTTCTTAGGGCCCAAGCCCAATGACGGAAGCCCAGGCCCAGAAGAGGCGAGACGGCATGAGAGCAAGGGTATTAAAAAAGAAGTATAAAAAATAAAAAAAAATAAAAAAAAAGGAAAACCAAATAATATTTGGGGTATAATAAAATTATTATTTGTTCTTTTTTGGGGAAAATATTCTGATATCCCACTCAAATTTTTTTTTCATGTTCTCTTTTTGGTTCCCCCTCTTGGAGTGATTTACCTAGAGGTAATGTACATGGCCACATGGGTAGTGGCATTGGGTTTTTATTTTTTTTTTATTTTGGTGAATTCTATTGATATATAAATTCTTTAATTTGACAAATCTTTGCAAATGTGTGTCTTTTATTAGCATAATAGAAAGGTGATGTCAATGTAGTATATGTTCACCATGTTTACCTCATAGTGTAAATGATGATGTCTTTTATTATCATGCATAAAGCTTCTTTCTACCACTTTACCACATTTCACTCAAATTTTTATTTTAAATACCTTTTTTTTGGGTTGGTGCTGTCCTTCCACCATATCATAATGTGACATGCAGTAATGTTATTATAAGTTTTTCTGTCTGTCACCACTGCGAAGCTGATCGAAAGGAGACAAAATCAAGAGTTCAAATTTGAAATTAGGTTTTTGGGATACATGAAGAAAGCAGGCATGAGGTATGTCTTTTAGTGCTGAGGAAGCATGTCTTGTAAGGCTGCTCATTTCTTCACATCAAAGAGGTTTTGGTCCTCTTTTAACTCTCTACTTTCCCATCACCTATTTTCACTTTCTATTTACTCATCGAAGAAGGAAAAAAATTGAAAAGATAAAAACATGTCTTGTTTTTTTGCGCCAAATTTAGGAAGGAGGGGGAGAAAACTCAAACACACGGCTACCTGAGCCAATCCAACTAACATCCCATTAGTCACGTCTTTTAGTGTTAAAAATAGATAAAAGTACATGAATGAACTAATATAATTCATAAATTAGCCTGATAAGTTGAAAATTCATAATAACTTTAACCTTTTTTTTTGCGGGGTACAAAAGTACTTTCACAGCTCTGGTTTCGCTAACTTTATAATTTTCATCAATTGGTTTATAGCGGGAATCGGACTCCATTTGATGATTTGCTTCCTTCCTTCCTTAGCTTGGTAAATGCCTATGGCAAAAAGGTTAGCTAGAGGAATTTGATATTCAGAGGGCTAATATATTCTTTTCTTTTTCTGGAATATGTTTTAATACTTACAACTTGATAGGGAGTAACCTTGAAGGAGTTTTAACTTGCCATGTACGTGGCTTAGATCATATTGTTTTGACCCAAATTTTGGGTTAGGGTTTGAGCTAGCGTTGGTTGCCAAGTCAAAGTCCGTGTGTGAGTAAAGTCTATGGAATGGGCTTGAGTGAACGGCCCCAAATGACAGAATGTGACAGAAATTACCAGCTCATTGCCCGAGAGCTCATGATCGAACGGTCATTTCAGTATACTTTGTTCATCGTGTTTATGTTGTGTTTCGTGTTAATCCGTTTTTTTAATGAGTTGATATAAACTTGACCTGTTAAATTAACAGGACCAGAAACAAACACGACCCGTTAAAATAACGAATGATACAACACTACCTGTTTCACCTGTTTTAGCCTACATGCGAATCGCATTTAAGTCATAACATTACAATAACATTTTTACGAATTTAAGAACCAAAATGCGAATCCGATACAAATTCATAGAGTAACTCCTAAAAATCCTAGTTCATATAATCTTGTTACAAAAACCCGGGATTGTGGAGAAAATCATGTCAGTATCAATAATGAGGAAGCTGAACAAAACCAAAGGAAGACTTGATCCCTTGTGGCATTATAATGAGTTGCTTCATGTGTGGCAAGTCAATCATAATAGGTGCTCTCCCACTCAAGAAAACAGTGGTAGATCAGCCACACGCGACTTCTAATGTTTCGAGTACAATGAGAATTGTGACCGAAGTCGAAGTTCTAGAAGATGATTAGGACAACCGAGCCTTGTTCTGTAGGAGGGGGAACCTACAACCGAGAAGTGTTCCTTCATCAACCACAACCATATGAAGAAGTCCAAAACTAGCACATTATTATCAACATCAATTTGTACGTTTGGTCTTTGGCTCCATACCGGCATGTCCACAACGTCACACTCACACACCCGAAGGAGGTTTTTGTTCCTTGTTTTCCAGCTCATGCTAATTGAAGGAAAAAAATTGTTCCAGCCGAGCATTTGAAGGCACACCGTCAAAATTGATATCTCATAAATCTTGACGTCAAATATTTTTTAAATATTTTTTTTTACCCTTATACCCCATTATTATTTTTTATTATTAAAATTTTATGAATCGTATAAACTCCATTTATTTTAAATTTCAAATATAAGTAAATAATGTGATATTTAAAATTTAAAAAAATGTGAAATTATCATTCAAGCCATCAAATTCAATATTGTACATTTTGCATCTATTGGGACCATAGGAATGCGATTAGTCACAATGGCGGCATCTACATAGTAGCGCACCATGCTCTAGGACTTTATCAAAGACCAATCACTTTTCTTTTTTCCTTTCTATTGTTTAACAATAATTGAAGAGAGGGACGGACCTTAGCCCAAGTGAATTTTATTATTTTATAAAAAAAATTCTTATACTTACTATATAATTTTTAGGGTTTAATCCAGACCAAAACTAACAGTTTACAGTTCACTAATAAAGTAAATTTAATCGATCTCATTTTAAAATCCTGAATCCGTCTCTCATTTTGAAATCCTGAATCCGTCTCTTAAAGAAACAGGAATTTATTTAACAAGAGATTGGTTGAAAGGTGCCTGCATTTGGTGAGAATGGCCTCCTCCACATATTCCACGATGGCTATTTATAAAAGAAGGTCAAGTTGAATGTTAAATGCTATAAATTATTGTAGTGTAGGAATACTTCTCTCATTTTAGTGGTGCTCACATTTTGGAATGCTTCTTTCATTAAGTATATGCGAATATTATGTAACAATCATCATGCTGATAATACAAATCAAAGTTAACATGAAATTAATTGACTGGTTAAGATTGACCATTAATTATTTCATTCGAATTTGTAAGTAATGTAACTTTCTAATTCTAACACGAATAATAAATAGTTGGATAGTATTTTATGAATCCTTGTAGAACTATTAGATTTTTTTAATTGGTTTGTTAGAAAATATGGCAAATTATTTATTTATTTTTTTAATTTTATGAAGAAAAGTAATAGATTACATTCATAATTCAGACTTAAAAGACTGTCAGCTACAAGGGTCAATACAAATACAAATAAGCACACAGAGTTTATACAAATACAGAAGCACTATGTAAATGAAATTTTAATTGAAGGACAATTGTATGAGTTACAAATTTTGTTTACCAAATTGTACGTTTTTGGTTCACACAAGATATCTCAAGCTAAATTGTAAATATAAACAGGTCGAGTTGTCATGTTTAAAATAATCCAATAGGATTAATTAAAAATCTTAAATTAAGGTTCACAACTATTTCAGAGAGACTCGAAATAATATGACTCAAATACGAAACAATTCAGCCCTCGCATTTAACACCTACCTATCTTTCCAACAACCTTCAATTAGTGCAAGTTCTAATTGGTTAAGAGCATTTATCCCAATACATGAGATCCTATATTCGATTTTCCCCTCTTATAATATCACTTGTATTGAGAAAAGCAAAAACAAACTTCAAATAGTAATACTTATGAAAGAACATAAAGAAAATTATCGAGATAAAAGAATAGTTAGTAAATTATCAAATACAAGAAATTCTAACAAGAAGCTAGAGTAAAATACAATAAAAATGATATAATAATTTTCCCATTGTTAAATCATTATTGTTGTTGTTGGATTTGAGTTCATAACTGCCTCCATAATGGTTTCATAGTAGCATCACGCCATCTGAGGGTCAAGACATGTGACATGATCTTATTAATGCTCAGCAGTCAGTACAGCACGAGCCAGATATGAGCACATGAATTGGAAAATAATGCCGGGCCTTAAGCATATGTGAGGCCAGGCTACTATACGCCTGTTTAACTTTTGAAGAGATTGTATAGTCGTTGTCGCTTAAGTGGGTGGTTTTCAGTTGTTGATGCATCTAGGTGCTTCAAATGTATCAACAACTGCGAGACGTCTCATTCAAATGCAAGCGACTAATCAAAACATTCTAGATCATAATTTTTAGCCTAATTCGTATTGAGATCATTGAGCTTCTTTTCTTTTCTTTTTTTTTTCTTTTTGCACAAACACATATATGTTTTTCTGTTCTATACACATTCTATTTAGAATTTCTATTTCTACGAAACCGCAGTTTAAGACTTCTTGTGTATGATGGGATCTAAGCTTCTGAAAACGTGCGTTAAAACCCTTTATTTTAGTGCTTTATGCCTTTTCTTAAGGATCTCTAAAAAATCAAGTCAAGGGAGAATTCCGCTTATTGTTTTTGGCTCGAAATAAAGCTAGGGTCCTGATCGAGCAACTAGTAGTCCTAAAGCATAACTTTTAAAATAAAATAAAAATTCAAAATTGGCGAAGATGCGATACATCTTTAACCTATCTCCAATCAAGATCATGATAAGCATGAATAACTTGTGCTGCGCCAAACTCTAATAAAGACTATTTGATTTGTACTTATTATATAGAGTGTGACACAAAGTACCTAGCCTACGTAAAATTCTCTTCAGCTTTCAAAGGAGGGGGAATTTCTCTCCTAAATACAGCTCATATATAAATTGCTTGAATTTGGTAGAAGCATGGGAAATTCTCTACCTCCACAGAGCCTCCATTATTGTTGCCGCATGCTTTCTTGTAAAATCAACCACTCTAATTGAAGCAATTTTTCAAATGCATGGACACGTTTTTAGTCCTTTGGATCTTTGAAATGAAACAACTGGCCACAACCAACAGATATATATTGGAATTATTTCAATTCTGGACTTTTCCCGCACGCGTTTACTAA